CGCTCAGTCTTTGCTTTCTGTATCTGCGTGCTGCACAGCCGTTTGTCTCTCCTCTCGCTCAGCTGCGTCGCACGGTTTTATTTCGCGGAGGCGGGACTTATTTCTCTCAGCCAATGAAATTTCAGATTCCCACCTGGACCAATAGTATACAGCTTTCCTCTTCTGTTTCTGTTAGGGATGTTCAAGATTCTTGTTTTAACCGATGTTTAATATTAAACTCGTTATTTTAGTTATTCACCCTTCCAATAATTCATTATGAAATTATCTATTAGTTAATTAGATATCTATTAATTAGTATTGTTAATTTCCTTAATTTATATTTTATATTTTATCTAAATTGAGGATGGATCATATTAGTAAGCCAATTAGTTAATACCTCATTAAGGTTCTAGCTTCTGGGTTACAGCTTCATTGGCTGAAACAACCTTTTTGACTCACGAAGATCAAAGTCTGAGATAAAAACAAGATGAATTCTTACTACATTTATCAGGAAGGGACGAATAATGGAGGGAAATAACAGATTGTTAGATAGTTGAATTAAAGAGCAAGTCACCCCCTACCAGAGTATTACTCCACTCCCACTTCCTGTTTGAAAAATGCAACAAATGCTGTTGCCTAGCAGACCGAGAGGGCGGAGCCGCTAACAAATACACACACACACACACACACACACACACACACACAACGACATTGTGACATCATATGGTACCAGCTAACGTTATAGGGTACCTCTTAGCCAATAGCGATGGCAGATTTAAATTCAAATGCAGTGCAGAGTTTTTACCTGACAACAGCACAACACTGACAGTTTTAGGCAGAAAATTAAAATTTTAACTAAAATGCACTAAAGTGCTAAACTATTGACGACACGTGTCTGCAGCACGATTAGACACGCATTTATATAGTTTATCAGAAAAAAAGTTGATTTGGGGGCGACTTGCTCTTTAAATCAATTTCCCTCTGGGATTAATAATTTTTGAATTGAATTTAATTAAATTTTTTTCTTAATTTTCTCACCTGGCTGTCGCTCCACCGTGGAGTCTCTAAAGGCTCTCGAAACGGTTTCGAAGGTTCTCAGATCTCTTGATCAAGTGTTTAAACAGAAAACCTGAGTGTGCAGCTGGCAGAGGAAATAAACAGCTTCTTTGCCCGCTTTGAAACACCACAACAGCAACACTCATCTGTTTCAGCCCTGCTACCATCCTCATACTCACCTGGTTCTTATACCGCTCCACTCACTGTAACGGAGCACGATGTCAGACGTGTGCTCCTAGCAGTGAACCCCAGGAAGGCGGCCGGTCCAGACGGAGTACCTGGGAAAGTACTAAGAGCATGCACACACCAGCTCAGCCTCATCTTCACCAGACTCTTCAACCTCTCACTGGATCAGGCAGCCATCCCGTCCTGTCTAAAATCATCCCAGTACCGAAGAAGTCTCCCATCTCCAGCTTAAATGATTACCACCCTGTGGCCCTCACACCGGTAATCATGAAATGCTTTGAGAGACTACTCCTTCAGCACATTAAGGATCACCTCCCCCCAGAATTCGACCCCCACCAGTTTCAGACCGTGCAAACAGATCCACAGATGACGCCATCGCCACAGCTCTCCACGCTGTGCTGAGTCACCTAGAGCGGCAGCAGAGCTACGTCCGAATGCTCTTTGTGGACTACAGCTCAGCCTTTAAAACAATCATCCCGGACATCCTCATCAACAAACTGGTCACTCTTGGCCTCCCTCCTCTCACGTGTGCCTGGATAAAGGATTTCCTCACAAACCGGCCCCAGACGGTGAGACTCGGCCCTCATCTCTCCTCCACTTGCACACTGAGCACCGGCTCCCCACAGGGCTGTGTGCTGAGCCCCCTCCTGTATTCTCTGTACACCCACGACTGCAGTCCGACCCACAATAACACTCTCATCATCAAGTTTGCTGATGACACCATGGTGGTCGGACTCATTTCGAAGGGAGACGAGGCAGAGTACCGAGAGGAAGTCCTGAAGTTGGCAGCATGGTGTTCAGAAAACAACCTGTCCCTGAACACCAAGAAAACCAAAGAGCTTATTGTCGACTTCAGGAGACACAGCACCGACTTGGCCCCCCTCTACATCAACGGGGAGTGTGTGGAGAGGGTCCACACCTTCCGGTTCCTTGGCGTCCTCATCTCTGCTGACATCTCCTGGGTGGCAAACTTCTCAGCGGTCATCAAGAAGGCCCAACAGCGGCTGTACTTCCTGAGAGTCCTCAGGAAGTACAAGCTGAACTCCAACCTGCTGCTGACCTTCTACCGCTCGTCCATTGAGAGCCTGCTAACCTACTGCATCACGGTATGGTACGGCAGCTGCACCAAGGCGGATAGAGTGAGGCTTCAGAGTGTGGTAAAGACAGCACAGAAGATCATCGGCTGCCCTCTCCCCTCCCTGATGGACATTTATTCCTCCCGCTGCCTGAGTAGGGCAGCAAACATCATCAAGGACAGCTCCCACCCTGGCTTCAACATGTTCAGACTGCTTCCCTCAGGGAAGCGCTACAGGTGCATTAATACAAAAACCCACAGATTCAAAAACAGTTTCTTCCCCAAAGTTATAACCACCCTGAACTCACACATGCACCGATAATGCACCTAACCCACACTTCCCACTTCCTCTATTGACCACCACCAATTATACCAATTCTATGTGCAATAACTGTATATACATAACACTAATACTGTCCATATGTGTATAGCGCTGCAGAACTGTCACCATTTGTGACAAAATCGTGATCTAGAATTCAAAACCGCATTTATCTCGTCGTTGGTGAATATCGGCATCAAATGTACGTATTTGTTTGTTCTGCTGGTTTAAAACGTCAGAAACTTAGACATACCACCTTAAATCTGAGTGTCCTATCCCACTCCAACGTTGGTCATATATAAATGGTGACTGTAATGCAGACTGTAGAACAACGCTAGCCCGAGCAACCGTAAACGTTCTTCATGGAAAACAAGAAAGACACATGTAACCATGTTCCAGGATGTGCCAGGATAATCAGATGGTGATTGAACGCCAGGTAGATCATAGCTTGCTTTTAGTGATGGGACAGACGAAGCAGAAGCTTGTACCAAGTGCAAAGGGGTCGTGTCTATAAAGATTTGTTTCACAGAAAAGCACGACTGGTGATAAATGAGTCCTTGTTTAACCTGGATAATGTGACTGGGTTGTTGTTACCGCGTCTAGCAGGGTTTGGATAGTTGAGCTTGGCTGTCATGTTTCAACTCCACCAGTAGATGTCGCTATAGAAGTTTGAGTACATTAAGCATCAAGTAGTCGATCTTATGGTGAAGCAATGGGCTTCATTTGGCCATTACTTGGTTTTTGGGTTATCCAGATAATGAACGTGGCCGTACAGTTTCTAGCTCAGAGGTCTTGAACCCATTATTATATTGTAACCATTAATTATCCAGAACGTTGGTTCTTCTGCTGCAGTGCATCTCGTTCAGTGGTTCAATCAGATGTTCAGACTGTCAGTAACCTCCTGAGGAAGGGAAACGACTAAAACATGCTGGATTTTGGCTCTCGAGGACCAGAGTTTGAGACCCCTGTTCTAGCTTCAGGAAGCATCATAGAGCCATCAGGGTAAACTGGCCAATCAACAACCAGCTCATTCATTATCAATGTCCTGGCAGAGTGGGCGGGGCAAACCAGTCTTTCCATTGTAGGAGTTTTTTAATTGTAATTGTATTTTGGCCATTTATCAGAGCTTCTTGACCATTACTATACATGTCATATGTTCTAGAATCACTTTAAAGAGCAAGTCACCCCCAAATCAACTTTTTTCTGATAAACTATATAAATGTGTGTAATTGTGCTGCAGACATGTGTAGTCAATAGTTTTGCACTTTAGTGCATTTTAGTTAAAATTTTAATGTTCTGCCTAAAACTGTCAGTGTTGTGCCGTTGTCAGGTAAAAACTCTGCATTTGAATTTAAATCTGCCATCGCTATTGGCTAAGAGGTACCCTAGAATGTTAACTGGTACCATATGATGTCACAATGTCATGAGACTGTGTGTGTGTGTGTGTGTGTGTGTATTTGTTAGCGGCCCCGCCCTCTTGGTCTGCTAGGCAACAGCATTTGTTGCATTTTTCAAACAGGAAGCGGGAGTGGAGTAATACTTTGGGAGGGGGTGACTTGCTCTTTAAAGTGAAAATGTACAGATTTATGCTAGCAAAAATAAAAATTTCCATATTCCAAAGTACCTAAAAGATGTCAGAAACTTTTGGCATTTTTTTGTTTTTAACGGAGCCGGCGTTCTGATCGGTGCTGAAGATCAAATCTGACTAAATAAAAGAGAACGAGTCACTTTATCACCATGAAAAGTCTTAATAAAGTCTTTGAAATAAGAAAAAGCAGCTGTTTTCTCCTCAGCTCATTTCATGTTTTATCTCGTGGACGTCAGACACCAAAGTCCCGCTCTCCACTGTCAAAACACTAATCTCTCACACTGATCTCTTCGTTTAGAGGAGAATAAAGCAGCAAAAGGAACAGATGTCACCCAGAGAAGATCAGAAACACAACGCTGAGTGATTGTTACGGAGCTGCAGAGCGGTGAAGATCAGCAAATCAGGCTGAAGGAGAGAAAATAAAATAAAGTTGGATGTTTTTTGTTTCTGCTCGGTTGAAAGTAATCAGACACAGAGTCTTTGTAAATGAAGGCAGCTTTGTTACTGTCATGTTTGTTTTTCCTCTCAAAGCCACATTACTCACAAGTTCTGCTCTTTGTGTGTCCATCAGCGGGCTTGTTAGTGCCCCTGAAGACACTAAGACCTCTCGCACGCGTTCATTAGCCCATCTGAGACACTTTAATGAATAAAAACTAAATCTGACCTTAAATTAAATGTGACGGGACGCTGGGATTAGTTTTGCTAAAATCAACATCAGAGCGTGCCGTTGCATGTGAATGAAAGGTTAAACGTTAATGGAGGAGAGATGATCCAAGGTCTCTTCCTGTCTCTTCCAGCCTCTGGACTTCGAGAAGAAGCGCCAGTACAGCCTGAGGATCCAGGTGGAGAACTCCCACATCAACCCTCACTTCTACTCCAGCGGCCCCTTCAGGGATGAGGCCACCATCAAGATCGTGGTCGAGGACGTGGACGAGCCGCCGCTGTTCGAGCGCGCCAGCTACATCATGGAGGTGAAGGAGGACGCGGCGAGGAACACCATCGTTGGCTCGGTCAGCGCCTCTGACCCCGATGACAAACGCAGTCCAGTCAGGTACCGAACTACGTGTTGGTTCTCCCGAGATCACGAGAAAAGCCCCTAAAGACTCAACTTTAATCATTATAATCATAAAAAATACACACACATATTTATCCATTTTAAAAGTTGCTTATTACACTTTTCACACAAAATTCAACAAACCGTCAGGATTAGGAGAAGCTCTGATGCTTTAAAATCATCAAAAGGTTCATTCTCCCGTTCGTTACAGGACTTGACCGCATTAATCCTAATCCACCGTACGTGTACAGTCACAAAGAACAATGGCAACACAACAGGACAATAAAGAAGGCCGATTAGCAGAAGACGTGTTTTTTATAAAGGGAATGTGATTCCCGACGTTCCTGGTTGGACCCTTTTCCCTCATCAGATTAGAAGGAATGAAATCCTTGAAAATGTAAAACCGGATCGAGTATTTTGAGTCATCAAATATGGCCGCTCGTTTCCCAACCCAGCGCGATTCCTTCGTAGTTGTGATAGATTAGCCTTTTCATCACTTTAATCTGAGATCATCTCAGTTTGCTGGATTATATGAACCATGACCACGGTTTAGCCGAGTTGTAGCCATTTTTGTTGGCGGCCATATTCAATTTGCCGTTTAATATCTCGTTCATTAAAAACCATCCAGGGTTAGAAAAATGACAGGAAGTTAGTCCCAAATTTAAATATTTGTTTTTTTATAGTTGTACAGAAATCTGAGTCATTTGTCAATCAGGATGAGATTAAACCTCAAAGTTTATTTTTCTCAGATTTACACAGGATTAGAACACCTGCCACCAAAATGAGATTTTTCTGATAAAAGCTCGTTTTTGTTCCCGTCAGATTTACCATGTAAAGTTGGTTATGATGCTGAAACTGAGTTAAAAGGTTGAATTAAAGTAGGTTTTGGTTAAAGCTGGAGCTTAATTGTGCAAGCGCTCCCATAAACGGGAGTGGTGGAGGAGAGGTGCGAGGCTGCACCTCCTCTTTGTCGCAGACTTTTTCATTTTACGAGGCGCTGAGGGAGTCGGCTCTCAAGGTTGAAGTTCCAGCGCTTTACTGCAGGTGTCAAATATGATATCATTCTCTTTTATCGGCCGTCATCAAGGAGGAAGCTTCCCTCTGGCATTTACAGCTCTGTGGAGGAGGAGGGCTGCAGGCGGCCCGGGATCAGGAAGATTCTGACTTTATTAGCACACGCACGCACACACACACACACAATAATGAGGGAATAACACACACCTGGCTATGGAGCAGGTGAGAAGCCAATTGTCCCGTTACTTTTGGTCCCTTAACAAGTGGGAGACACATATGCAAACGTTGTAATTCCTACACGTTCACCTGATTTGGATGTAAACACCCTCAAATAACAGCCGACAGTCTGCAGTTAAAGCACATCTTGTTCGTTTTGTTTGATATCCACTGTGGTGTATAGAGCCAATTATGTTAGCACTGTGTCCATGTCCCAATATTTATGGACCTGACTGTAGATTCAGGTGTGTCAAATGTGCTTGGAGGGCGTTTTCTCCATCAGACGTGACTCAAGACTCAGAAAAATGTGAGATGAATGAGTTGAAAGCAGAAGTTTGTTTGAGGCCAAGAACCAAAGTTTTTATTTCTGATGTAACTTCAGGTAATTTTAGAGTAAATCAACAGAAATCTGAGATTATTTCTTCCTGGAGCTAAAACTCACATTTTATCCTGATAAATTATGATTTAACTTTAGGTTTAGTTGATGTTTAGAGAAAAAAAAAACGCTCCAAAGTCCCGGATCCTGATCCTCCATGAGGGATCAACCACCAGAAGGACCCAGAGCATCACAGCCGGCTGCTGACAGCAGCGCTCCGTTATCTCCACCTCAGTAACCGGTGGTGGTGGGGTTTGACCCGGCCGGCTGAATCATAGCGGTTCTTAGAATCAGTAAATCCCACGTCTGACGCAGATTTAACGAGGTTAGAGTCGCAGCGAGGATGGCTGGGGGGGGGGGGGGTCGCCCGCCTCTTACACCGGCCCTCGGGATGCCTGTTAGTCCATTAATCACACGGATGCATCCGAGTCGTCTAGGAAGCAGAGAAAACACAACTGGTGTTCCTTTTGTGTTCCAGCAGGAGACGGACAACCCGTCTCTCTTTAAAGAGCAAGTCACCCCCTACCAGAGTCTTACTCCGCTCCCACTTCCTGTTTGGAAAATGCAACAAATGCTGTTACCTAGCAGACCGAGAGGGCGGAGCTGCTAACAAAAACACACACACACAGGCTCACAATGACATTGTGACATCATATGGTACCAGCTAACATTCTAGGGTACCTCTTAGCCGATAGCGATGGCAGATTTAAATTCGATTTACCATCTGTAGAGCTTGAAATCGGCCCTCATCCTGGTGCCGGAGCTACGGTGTCTAGTTTAGGACATCCTCAGGTGTCAGGAAGGCATCAGGTGGGTCATGTCCCATCACAGATGTGCTCCTGTGCAGGTACACCATCGACCGGCGTACGGACATGGACCGGGTCTTCAACATCCACGCAGGAAACGGGTCGGTGTTCACGCTCCGAGACCTGGACCGGGAGGAGAGCGCCTGGCACAACATCTCCGTCATCGCCACGGAGTTCAGTAAGTCTGCTTTCTGAAGACGCTCCAGCTGTGAGCCACTCCACAGCTTCAGTTGTTTTTATGCAGTTTTTATTTATTTCTAGTTTTAAGCCTGATAAAATTATTTTTTCCTCTCATCTTTAATCCTCTCTAATTAACTTCCTGTTTCTTGTTTTCTGTCAATAAAACTTCAAACTTGTGCAGAGATTTCACATTAAAATCCTATTTAGGATGTCTTAACAGATTACAGACAGAAGCAGCTTGATTCTCTCCTTAACGAGCTGTTTGTTTGTTTGTTTGTTTGTAATTAGTTTGCCCGGAAACGCGGGCCAAGCGGCTCACGCGCTCTGGGTAGACTCATAATTAGTCATGTGAAGTCACCGTGTCCACCTTTGTGTTTTCCAGACAACCCGCGCCTGATGAGCCGCGTGCCCGTCTACATCAGAGTGCTGGACGTCAACGACAATGCTCCGACGTTTGCCACCAATTACGAGACGTTCGTGTGCGAGAACGCCAAGGCTAATCAGGTCAGTTCTGACACGCCATAAAGCCATCGCCATGGTTTCATCTGGACCTCCACGTTAGGGATTATCCGTCCAATTAGCTGACCTCAGAGAATCTGTAACTCGTGTTTTTAAGCTGCATCTCTGGCTGAGGCGGAACTGATAAAAAGATGATTTTACAATGGCTCCTCCTACTTAGGCCCCGCCCATCCCTCTGTAACCTCGCCACCGAGGTCAGCTGAAGTCACTGCCTCAAACTTCTCCTTATCAGCATTTTTGTCCTAATGAGCTGAGAGGTCAAAGGTCAGCGGGGCAGCGCTGACCTAAACATCAAACGCCTTTCAGAATATTGTGGGCGGAGTCTTGACTCTCAGGACGACCTTGTGAATCAGGACACTGTTCCCTGCAGGTCCGATAAGAAAGAGGCTTTGTTGGATATCTTCAGGCCGTTTCTGGATGATGGATGGTCCTGCAGATAAACCGAGCCCCCCCCCCCCCCCCGCAGCAGGGCTGGAGGTGATGGTTGAGCCAGCTCTGATTATTCAGTTTTGACAAAAAGAAAACAAAACAGTAGAAAGGATGAAAGGAGTTTATTCCTTCTTCCACGAGCGATGCCGAGGATAAACTCTTGACACTCGTGACTTTATCAGTTTGGTTCTGGAAACGTTCCGGCACATCTGCTTTCATAACAATGCTCCCAACCTGGAAAACTCATGAAGGAATTCCCCTTCAGGCTTTAAGGAAAGAAACCGGGTCAGAATGAAAAGTTGTGTTTTATTCTCCAGAGGATCCAGACGGTCAGCGCCACCGACGCCGACGAGCCCCTCGGAGGACATCGCTTCACCTTCAGTCTGGCACCAGAGGCTGCTGGGAAGGCAAACTTCTCCGTCCGCGATAACAAAGGTAACCGAAGCAGAACCGTGTGTGAACCCGGACCAGGTGCTAACCGGTTCTGGATCTGTTCCCAGATAACACGGCCTGGATCCTGACCCGGAGGAGCAGCTACAACAGCCTCCAGAAGAGCGTCTACCACGTTCCTGTGGTCATCTCCGATGGAGAGTATCCCATGCAGAGCAGCACCAGCACACTCACCATCAGGGTGTGCACGTGCGACCGCGAGGGCAACATGAAGCTGTGCAACCCCGAGGCGCTGACGGCGAGGGTGGGGCTTAGCACCGGAGCCCTGGTGGCCATCTTACTCTGCGTCATCATTCTGCTCAGTGAGTTCAGGGGGTTGTTTACGTGAATCGGCGTTGTTGAGCTGCTGCAGATGCATCTTTGTGGAACCAGATTCTGTTCTACAAACGTCAGCACTCCCCCGCGGACGGACAGCGGCCTTCACAACGTCTCCCGTTTGTTGTCTTTGTTCTCCTGCAGTAATCGTGGTGCTGTTCGCCGCCCTGAGGAGGCAGAGGAAGAAGGAGCCTCTGATCATCTCCAAAGAGGACGTCAGAGACAACGTCGTCAGCTACAACGACGAGGGGGGAGGAGAGGAGGACACGCAGGCCTTTGATATCGGAACGCTGCGGAACCCGGAGGCCATCGAGGACAGCAAACAGAGGAGAGACATCATCCCCGAGACCTTCTACCCGCCGGTAAGGCGTCCCGTTCTGCCCCCGAGCCGGGACAACAACGGGGACGTCAGAGACTTCATCAATCAGAGGCTCCAGGAGAACGACAGCGACCCGACGGCGCCGCCTTACGACTCCTTGGCGACCTACGCCTACGAGGGCAACGGCTCTGTTGCCGAGTCCCTCAGCTCGCTGGAGTCTGTGACCACCGAGGGAGACCAGGACTACAACTACCTGAGCGAGTGGGGGCCGCGCTTTAAGAAACTAGCGGACATGTATGGGGGGGACGACAGCGACAGGGATTCCTAACGCAGACGAGGAGCATTTCAACTTTGGGACAGTTCTGGCGGACGCGTGGCGGGCCGAGACGAGACGAAGCTCCCTCACCGCCTTCCCGTCATCCCTCCGGTGACCAGATGTAGGCTTTGTGTGTCCAGTCAGTGTTAGTTGAGTTTTCGCTGGGACGCAGTAAGACTTTCGTTTTTTTGTGTGTAAACCAGATCCGAAGCGGTCCCAAATATATCCCGACAGAATTCTTCTGGTTTGTTTTTTCCAAAGCTGCCTGTGGCGGACGCTCGCTCTCTCTGCAGTTTTGTAAACCAACAGATCCGCCGACGTATTTTCAGTGTTTCTGGGACTAAAGTCATGCCGCATATTGTGAGTTCTATCTTAGCTTGTGTACGTACGGTAAAACGAAACAATACGCTGTACAGTTTGGTCTGACTTCTGAAATCTCCACCTGCGTTCTGACGGAGGACCGTTGGACCTGAAATACCAAATAGCTCCTTCCTGAGGAGAACGAGCTCAGATTCACCGATCTAACGAAAGCGGACCTTTTTAAGACTTTTCTGGAAAACAAGTCCAAACACTGTTTTTTTATCATGTTCCTCTCCATGTTTTACTTCTACATGATGTTTGGTCCTGAGGGGGCCTGACCCACCCAGAATGTAGAAAGCAGCAGCTCCGTAACAGAAATGTGCCAAAAACACCACCAGTATTCGCCTCCCACAGGCCCCTGCTCCTCATTACAGGCGCCGTATTCCACGCCGAAGCCAAACCAAATGTTCCGGCTTTACACAGCTGATTTCCTGCGGGACCGCCGGCCTCTTCCATAAAGATGCTTATCGAGGGGCACCTGACCTTTGAGCGGAGCCGAATTAAGGCTTTTAAACCCAGAAGATTGTCCTCGGCTTTGCGAGAAGGTCAGAGCGCCGTTTGTTTTAAATGTGATTTAGAAAACGAAGCGAAAACATCGCTTAAGCAAAATGAGTCGAAGGCCTGAATTTGTGTAGAAAGCTTTGGGAAGGCGAGGGGACAAGCGTGAAAACCCACGGCAGCTACAGCAGGCGCTGCCCTCACTTTAACAAAAGGCCAACCTGTGAGGAGGCTGACATTTGTCAGACATTTGGAACAGAAATAACAACACAAAGGCATAATTGCCACAGAGCCACATTAGTCTCTCCATCAGTAATGGTGCAGGCCATTAAACAAGCCGGCTGATTATAGAGTGACTGTCGTACACACGCGTCCTCCTCTTATTTTGTTTATTAGCTTTGCTGACGGAGCTCCCGCTGTGCGAGTGGCCGTTGCAGACCGCTGCCGTGTTCCTTTCATCAGCGTTTAATGGGTTTGAAACCCTCGGCTGCCAGAAGGCAATAAGAGTACGAAACACCAGGGCTGGAGCTAAGACCTAATGAAATCAGCTACTGATCTGCAAGCGATTAGCCAGGCCTGGCGACTGAGCGAACAGCCGAACACAACCTGAGCTACACACACACCAGTGGGGTCTGATCGCAGATGTAAGCTTAACGGTGCATCAGCGAGTACGACCTCAACAGAATGGCGATGCTAACAGCTAGCTAGAACATTAGCAGTTAGCATGTATCAGTTTAAGGTCAATAATCAGAAGCTAACTTTATAAAATCCACAGCTTTTGGATAAAACAAAAGTGTGCTAAAGGGCTAACATGCTAGCTCTAGCTAGACCGGCGTCACATGCAGAGGTGCTGGGTTCATGAGTCGTGTGCGTACAGACACCCCCCCCCCTAATCCGTTAATTTTTAAATAAATATTCAGGCTGCTAATGGAAAATCTCTCATTTTAGAACAAATCTAATCTTATTTCTGTTTCACTGATAAACGGTGTTTGGTGGATATCTGCGTGTGCTAACCCTACCGGTTTTCCACGTGGTGGTGGCAGTGAGCAGCGTCTGATTCAGGTAGGACGGTTCTGATTGGCCCATGAGAACAGCAGCTGTTTCTGATCGGTGTTAAGGTCCGAGCTCAGCCATCTCCCTTTGGGTTGTTTTTTCTGTGTGTGTGTGTCGAGGGCTTCGGACTCAGCTGATCCGTGGTTGTTGGTGGGAATGTGGCGGAGTAGTTGCGTAGAAACGAGGACCGTCACCGACCATCCTTCACTCTGCTTTGTAAACCGTGAGATTTTGTACTGAATATTTATATGACACGATTAAACATGTTTAAAATCTTCCTCTGACGGTTCCTCGTTCTTCAAGTTTAGCATAAAAACTTTGGTGTGAAGGCGGCCGCGGGCGCCGCCGCCTCCTCACAGGTACGTATCTACTGCATCTCAGTACAGAAGCCTGTGACAGATAGTTATTAATACGTCTGCTGTTGTTAAATAGCTGGATCCAGAGGCTACTGAGCACAGGAAATTGTTAATTAGACAATCTATAATTAAGATCTGTTAGACAGCCAATCAGGTTTTGGGGGGGAGGATGAGTGGCAGATGCTGAGAAGAATCGAGTCTCTTTAGTGTTTCAGATGAAAAGCGAATAAAACAAGTAGATTTATGCTTAACTGCAGCGTTTATTACACATTTATAATCCAATTCTTTAAAGATGCGCCTTTACAGATAATCCAGCTGAATAACAACCAGGTTCTAACTCGCCTCCTGATTGGCTCGGGTCAGGTCACTTCCTGTCCTCCTCCACATCGTCCGTATCCTTCTCCTGGCGCTCCCGCTCCCGCCTCATCTCCTTCAGCTCCTGCCTGTATTTCCGCTCGATGAAGCGCTTCTGATGAGCCATCTGTGGGAAGTTATCTGTGTGGGGAGGACAGACGGAGGCGGGGTCAAACGAGGAGAGGAACTTAAATTACAGGTTGCTTCTGTGGTCAAACCAGGTAAAGCACAGCGGCGTGTTTTCCTTTTATTAATAGCGAGATTTTAATCAGGACTTTTGGTTTCAGCCCAGCGACTCCCAGATCTGATAATTACACGTAAACAACTCTAATAAAAAGATGAAGGAGATTAAAAACAATCAGATTCAAGATAACAGGACGTTCAAACGAAAGCCCGAGTTCAGCTCCTCCCAGAACGGAAGCAGAAGTCACGTCAACGTACCCGAACGCTAGACGACCTCGAAAACAAACACACCAGGCCTCGTTTTAGAGGAACCCAGAACATCTAAAGCTCTGCAGGCCTCAGCTGGCTAAGGTTAGAGGTCACGGCTCTAAATGTGAGAAGGACAGAAAATCGGTGCCGTCAGCCCTAGGTTGTGAAGGGCTTGGGCGCTTCCGAGGCCATCTTGGCCAGGTCACGCGTCTCGTCACTCCCAGAAAATATAGAGCTGGAGCCGACATCGAGTTATTGACGGTGGGGACAGACGATCGACACCCATCAAACTCTGAGCCGATGAGCCAACAGAAGCTTTTGGAGGTTAGCGGGTGCTTGGTTGAGTGAATCGGCTCTAACCCTGAGGCAGGAGGACTAGCTACTGGCGCTGACCTCTGTGTAAGAGATTCTGACTGACAAACATAAAACCAACGAATAAACAAGCTCATCAGTAAAAAGCGTTCTATTTACTCAGAAACTTACTGATGCTGAACTTAGTTCGATCGTAAAAGAAAAACAGCAGAATGTTTGGGGGGGGGGGGGTGCTTTCACAGTAAAATAACCGTTTTGTTTCTGTAGTTTTCAATCTGTAAAAGTTTATTGTCTCGCCTACAGCACCGTTCATTTCCAGACCTCGTTTCAAAACGGACAAATGCTGCTTTTGGCTCTCGAACGCTGAAGAAACGCGAGTGCCGCTTTGGCTTCATCAGCTATTAGTTTCCAAAAGAAAAGTTCTGAAAGCCTGAATTTGGGTTTCCTGTTTGTTGCCAACTCGGCTGAAGCCAATTTCTCCAAATCTGATCTGATTACGAGTCTGAGAGGAAACGACAAATAGAAACCACCACGGGAAACCGTTGAGAGGTTAAGACGGGTGGCGGCATGGAGAGGAGCCCCAACCCGACTCAAAACGCATCAAACAAGAGAAAGGTTCCTGAATTTGTCGCACGCTCCAGTTCTCATTAGGTGGTGGGATGCGGGGGCAGCGTCCTCAAGAGGACGTGCTAAAGGGCTAACTGCAGCACAGTAATGATCAGAGACACAAAAAGGGAAATGAAGTGTTGGAAAAGTGGCGGTCAGTTAGGTGGAGAGACGCCGTCACCAGAAAGTCTCCAAAATGTCAGGTTTTAATGAACAGAAGCAACAGCTCTGAGCTTCAGAGTTCAGCGGCTCCTCAGAAGGTCTGAATCATGTTGGATAACAGAGAGAAACGCCTGGCAAGCGGCAGGCAAACGGCAGCTGGTCTCTTAAAGCAGCTTGTTCCGTCTCAAAGTGAGATGGAGCCACATTAACGCCGTACTCACAACTTCACCACAAACACAACGAAGCAACGCTCTGAGGAGGAATGCTTCATTCGCTGGTTTTTAATTGAGAGAAAAACAGTAAGAAAGCCGAGGAAACGTTAAGTGGTTCTGAGTTGGTGTTAAGTCAAAAAATGAAGAATTTATCTGATTAAAAGAAGGATAAAGCAGAGAGGACCTGAGTCTGTCCGGGAAATATTCTCATTAATCAGAAAACATTCATGAGGCTGTCAGCATCTTAGTCCAGACAACAAAATAAACCAGAGACATCAGAAAAACCCACAAAGCAACGCGTCACATCGGCTTCCCAAAACAAGACGAAGGCTTTTAACAAATAACGACGAGGATTTTAATCCTCAACAGTCCTTTTGGGGAACGATGAAAACTGCATCATCCAGACGAGTCATGGAGGTCCTGTAGGAGGCGGAGCTGAGCGGCGTGGAGCCACTAAAGCGTTTCTACCTGAAGCACCGTCTAGAGGGGAAGCATGTATCGCAACGTAGCGTCGCTAAATACCATTAGCATGTAAGACATTAATTATCCTGTATGACGCTAAATATTCAGAATTCCTGATTAACACTGAATAACATTTCAGAGTATTATTATTATTTAGAGTAAACACCTAAGGCGCTAGTCAGCACGTGGCACAAGTCAGCCCGCTTCAACGCATTCTTCTCCGTCCCAAAGAGAAGCAGGGCGCCCGCAAGTCTCAGTGTGAAACTTTTGTGCTTGGGTCAAAGGTCATGCTGGTTTAAAGCCAGTTAGTTATCGACACGGTTTTCCCACAAACGAGCACTGAGGTCTCGCCCGGTTGGATCTGACTTCCTTTAGTTGTGAGTGCACAAGTATTTAAGTGTTTACTTTAGTGAGTCTATTTAGCCCCCCCCCCCCCCCCCCCCCCCCCCCCCCCCCGCCCAGTGGGTCGTGTCCAATCACTGAGCCTCTCATTTGACTGTGCAGTTTTTCCAGTCACAAGTCACGACCATGCAAACTAAGTGCAAATTACAGTCTCACTGCCTTTCATACACAAGTGTGTGTGTGTGTGTGTGTGTGCGTGTGTGTGTGTGCATGTGTGTGTGTGTGTGTGATGTGATTATAAAGGACTGATCTGTTGCATAAATACAAGAAAACAAATGCGTCTCTGGTCTCGTTCTCATGGACGACCTTGATCAAAAGGACAAAGAGTAATGAAGAGGTTAAAACACGTTTATAGGAAGAGGTGCTCACCAGCGACCGGCCACACGGGCGTGTTTTCTACTGATTTTATAAATACATCAATGTCTCCTTTGACTCTAGTTGCTGATTCTTCTCTCTAATCACGCTGCCGAGTCTAAAACGTCCACGAACACCAGAATAACTGCACATAACGCTAGAAGAGAAACGAGGAAAAACCTGAGGCTGTGATAGCAAATAAACACGTTTATGTCTCGTAACGTTCTAACATAGTATAGTTAGAAATACATGGTGGAGGTAAAAAATAAGAACAAAATAAATAAATCTAAGTAGTTCTGTTGCATTTAAATAAAAACTTCTCACCGAACCGCCGCGCTTCCCTGAGCCCTCCACTCGTCACACACTCATGTATTCAGCACCAGAACACCACCGGTGTTCCATCTAAAAGCAAATTTATCCGTTTTTAAAGAATTTTGTGTGTCTCTGAGACCGAAACGCCGACAGAAACACACATTTTAATGTTTCGTCTGCACGCTTCGTTTGGAAACTGAACAGCTTGAAAACGAACACGAGATTGTGACGGTTCTAGATGACTGAATGAACCATTCGAGCTGCTCAGATTCGTTAGATCAGGGAAACAAAAACACAGAAAATACGACTCTGATCTCTTCCAGCACCATCTTCTGATTCACCTCATGTTTTATCTGGAGTCGGGAGGACTTTGTCCATCTACACGTCATCCGGCTAGTTCTACGTTCTCAAAGAAGCTTCTTTCTCGCTCATTTAAAAATCCAAAGCATAAAAGTTTCTGTTACTTTTTAAACATTTTTAAAATTAAAATAATTGATTAGCGAGGGTTTACCACAATGAAGCTCTAAATCGGCATTTTCTCTTATTCTATCGGCTTTCAAACCGTAACAAACAACTGGGAGACGCCAGCTGGTGCTCTGAGGTGCTCCGAGGTATTTCTGTGCGTTAATGGTCTGAATCGTGAAGCCTAGGCTTGAGAAAAATGCTTCTTTCTAACAGAATTTTCACAAGCACCATATAGTGGTTTGCTGTTCATGTATTCAACATTCAAGGGCCTCCTCCTATGGTATGTGAAACGGCGCCAAAAAGCCCCATTTCCATATAATATGCATCTGAGTCGTGCAGAGAGTGCGCTCCTCTAATTTGTCATTAAAGCAACAGAGAAAGAAAGTGTGTGATAACAGCAGAATCCCATTAAAACAGGAGAAGGATCAAAAGAAAAATAATAAAAAACACATCTCTCCTTCAATAAGGCCTCAGAGGGAAAACCACATATTGGAGTTAAAATATGGAAATCACCAGGTCTTGTTCCTGTGAGACGACCGGAGAAGAACCCACACCGAAGGAAAAGCAGAGCAGCTCTGGCTGTTTGCGTTGTTTAACATGCAGCACGGAGCAATCCACAAGAATACGGCTGCACCAGAACACACGAGGCGTTGGATTAGAGGCTGTTGGGCATCGCGGGGCGTTTGGAGACTTCTCAGCTGTTCGACGGTCTGGAGAAATCCTTCCACTGAAGAGCGCCTCACTTTGCATACTGATCACCTTCTGTTAGCGTGTTCAGGAACACGCCACAGACCTGGCACTCCTACCGTTTCTGTTCCTGGCACGGTGCTGCATTCCTTACAGGTTTCCTAAGTTTGGGTTTCATTGCTTAAGTTCAACCCACAAACCAGTGGAGGCACCAACTAGAGGAGCCTGTCCCTGCTCTTCTCGACAGAAGCGTCAGAATTCAGCCCCGTTTGAGGGTTTTCCAGCAGGAATGGCCAAAAATCAGACGTTCTCCTTCAGGATGTTCCGCTAGAGAGCGGAATCCATGTTTCTATCGGGTATGGCGAGTGGTCCAGGTCCTGAAGAAGCACAGCAGCTCCACACCATCATACTGCCACCACCATGTTTGACTCCAGAGGAACCTCGTGCAGATCTCTGGATGTTGTTCTTGAATTTCTTTAGGGCGAGGCACATTGTGTTGATTTTTGAAATCGTTCAGTCATCGTCGTGTGGTCAAGCAGGTTCTATAACGTTCTACAGGACTGGGTGTAGCTGAACTCCATTACAGATAACCTGGTAGTCTTAGACTTTTTTTGGGAGGGGTACTTTTTCTAGTAACGTAAGGTTGGTTTAAAATATTCTCGTCTCTTGATAAATGTAGAAAAAACAAAGGCAGAACAAATCTGTAACCATATAAATCTTCTCTACGTCTAAAGC